TCCTGCTTTGGAACGCCCACTGCCGATCTCCATACAGTTTTGTCATTGATTGGTATTAGTGAGAGCAAATGTTAGAAAGCACATAAAGGCAAACAATGTAAAAAACCACCATATGTCATGCAAAAAAGTCCATGATTTAGGACTATTCTCAAAGCTGCCTTTAGCTTCAGCTTTCATGGCAAAATCGGTATCATCAAAGCCAACACAAGACATATTTGCTCTGCTTTATAAGTGCTAAAATCGCGGTCACTTTCAGACTGAGTCGGGCATCTACCTGCTGGGTGTTTCTGGGCAAGCTCATACCTTCTCTGAGGCACAGTTTCATTCAAGTGGAAACTTGGGTATTTCAGACTTGATGTTCGTGTATTTATTTGTTGGCACCTTCTAGAATATGTGGATTTCCCCAATTACAAGGAGAAAGACCTAGCACTATTGTCTGTCTCTGTTTTAGGGATGCCTTATGAAATGGTCCTGTCTCTTTCAGTAAGTCAAGTACCAGGATCACACTGCATTATCTTAGGCAGTTCCTTCCGCCATCTCCCACTTTCCTAGCTTGGAGTTTACACTTCCAGGGTATATGGGCCAGTCGAACAGTATCTGTGTTATCTTTTAAGAACTCATGTTATTGAAATAATTTATGAAAATGACACTTATGCAATCACTGGTTTAGTGTCCTAACACACTAACATGCTTCCCTCAGGTCCCTGATACCACTTTCCCCTTCTACCAGAGGGGCTCTGCTAGTTCTCACCCTGCCTGTTGTACTTACACCACCGTGTTTCATTAGCTACAACAAGTCCTTTTGGAAATAGCCAAACACAAATCTTATTTTTATACATCCATTCTGAACTTGTTATTCTGCCTCCTATAGGTTTGCATATCAATATCTTATGTTTGTGAATTCCTTCAGAGAAGGAACATGTCTGTTCTAAACAGAAGTATGGAGAAAGTCATTTGCCAACAGATAACAATGTCTTTTGAAGATTGTGAGCATAGTCGCTGAGCTATAAATTCTAATCTTGGGAAAGGATGAAAATGTAAAAAGACTAGCTGTAAGTCACTAAGTAGATGATAAAGCTACTTACTTCTAAATAACTTCTACCATAGTACCAGCATCATCTGAAAGAAGCTCAGACTGCAGAGTGTCTAAATACCCATCCGTACTTGTCACACTCCCCTTGTCAGCCTCTTGTTCTTAAACATTTCTACTCCAAGCCTCCTGCTGTGCTCTTAGGTTCTGTTTCTGTCACACCTTTCCCTTCAGTGGTTGGCTTTGCCATTCTAGTTGCTACTTGTCTTGAGTGAGGGATACTAGACTTTACATAGTTGTTGTGAAGAAGATGAACAAAAGATATTCACCTTTAAGTGGCAGCTGCCACCAACACACAGAAGCACTCACTCAAGATGACTTAAAGGAGACAGTGACTCAATGTGTGACTGAAAAATAGCGCAATTCAGGCAAGTGTGAAAGGAATTAATATTTTCCAATAAGTCCTTCAAGATGACTAGTTGTTGATTAGTATATGTTTGATTTGATTATTTTCAAAACTGGGCATTTTTGGAGGGGAAGGAAGTATGAAGCAAGAAGGAAAAGGGAGATTGTTTTTAGAACCCCTAATTAATAGAAACGCCTACTTTCAAAAAAGCCTTCTTTAGAGCTATTCCTTTTCACTTTTTTCCTGTCGGGTGCATGACATTTTAGAATTCTTGGCTTCGGCAGCAACCCAAAAAGATAGAACTGCAAACTTGCACATCAAAAAAGAAAAAAGAAAAAAAGAAGCATCATGATTTGGAACAAAAACCAAAACAGACTAAAAACAAAAAATACAAGCAGCAAAATCGCTGAACCTAACTCAGAGCATCTTTTTGAAGACAGGGAGGTTAGTTGGTTAAGTATCACAGTGATCTTAGTTACTGCCCTAACTTTGAGAGTTTACATGTTTAAGAATGCACATCCAGAAGCGGCACATGTAGGAAAACCATGGTAGCCAAGCATCTGAACTACTGCTGCCGGGGCCACCCTGTTCCAATCAGCATGGATTTCCAGAGCTGCTGCTCTATGGTAACTCTCAGTGAGAGAGACAAAGAAATAGAACATTTTTAGAAACCAAGCAAAAAATGGATGGGAATACAATACCTGGAAAGTTTATCAAGCATGTTGACAAGTTTCATGGCTTCATATTCTTTTTGTTCTTCTGTCATTTCATCTATAGGGTTTGGCATTGGTTCCTCTAAATGACCAGTGATAAGATTAATGCTACAAAAAGAAAAAAAAGTTATGCTGTATGTTTTAAAATTATGCTCTTTCTATACTTTTCTGGTCCAAGTTGTAAGTTATAATAAGAAAGAGTATAATAGCCAAAAAATTGGCAATAATAGCAATTTTATGATATAGAACTGCTATGGGAATTTAAAAAATTTACTTTCCTACTAATTTGCTTTGGGAAATGAGTACTAACTATTGTTTTTAAAAAAGTAAAACTAACTTGCCAACTTAAAAAAAAGTCACAGCTGCTTTTTAAAAATATGAAATTTGACTGGTGCCGATAGGATAAATATCCCTGGATGCACAGCTTATTTATTAATTATTAGGGGACAAATGATTTCAGAGAGGGAGAAATCCATTTTGTGATACAGCATAAAACAAATATGTCAAAAAAAATCGGAAAAATGATGACAGAGAGGCTGGAATCTGAAAATGAAAGCATGCCAATTTATAATCTCAGGAAATTAGTCCATTAGTGAGACCACAGAAGGCAATGAGTGTTTAAATAATAAAAGATAAAGCGGAAGAACAATTTTAATTAGATTTGATCTGACCTAGATTAAAAAATAGGAATGAAATCTAGCCTAGCAAGAGACAGGTATACCATCTGGCTTTCTGGAAATATATTAAAGTATTTAAAATGAAAACGTTCCATAAAGTTTGTATGAAGTTCTAATACTAAACAAGTTATCCTCTTAGATAAAAGCCACACTATTTTTTTTAGGAAGTAAAAGATAATTCTTTCAATGGCTGCTAAATATCTATGTTAAACATGTTTCTGGAGAAGCAGTCAAATGATCATGGCATTCTGTATCAGCCAAGTGCAGATGGTTTGTTTTTAATCATTAAATGAAATATCCCTGCAAACAGCAAATTGCTAACAAATGGCTTTCTAGGGTCTACAAACACAAATGCTTTCAGGGGCCAGTCCTTTGAGATAAGCAAATGAGTGAATTGGTCAAGTATAAACCATGTGGAGTGTTGGGATTGGGGTAAATTGGACAACAGTGCTAGTCTAAATGGGGTTCATGCAAGCCAAAACAAAGATACTGTGATCAATTAGGTCCTCTGGCGGCTAGCTTATAAACCTGAGTTAGACTTTTACTTGGGCATGTTAACCTTTACTGACCAGGGTTTTTCTCATCTGGAGTAAGGGCAAGGCCACTAGGTACTATTATAAAAGAGTTTCTGTTCCTCTGTTTCATTCCTCAGAGGCTACATGACATACAGATTCTTGTGAAAAGACTCAGTGCTCACCATCCTCAAAAACTGGATCTGTCATGTTTTGCCATTCTTGCACAAGACCTACGTCTACAGCCATGGTTCAAAACTTTTTTTGTCCTTCAAAGCAGTGGACACCATCCCTCCCCCTTCTTATTTAACAAGTGACATCTACGCAGGTAGATTAAATAGATAAAAGCGGAGGGGATGCGGATGGCCTAGGGCCCCTTCTGTTTGTCTGCACTCACTTGCTTCCTCTTAAGGTAGCCCCTCAGGCACTTTCAGCAACTTGCACTCAGGAAACATTCTGAAACCTAAGGCTTGTCAGTGATTTTTAGCCTTGGTTGTACACCAGGAACTTTAAAGAAAAGGCATGGGTCTAACCTGAGACCAACTACATCTGTATTTTTTTTTTTAAGTTTTCCAGGTGATTCTGATTCACAACGAGCTAAGAACAATGGGCTAGCGTGCCTTCTGATGCTGTGTACTACTACTTCCTCTCCTCTTTTTCAGATGCTCATAAGAGAAGAGAAAAAGGCCTCCAATTAGTGGCCATTAACTCCATTCGTTGCTGAATGGAGTCATCATATTTCCCAAAAGTCAAGCACAAAGAGGACCCAGACCAGGCTTCTGAGAACTACAGTTTTTAAGATGTCTCCAGATGCCACACTGAAAATGTAATTCTACCAGCCATCTATTATTTGCTTAGGCATGTAACAGCAGGGCACATTTTCACCGATATCTCTTCTGCCGCCTGCTAAATCAGAAAAACAACTAGTCTTATAAATGAGTAAAGGTACTTATTATAGGCACATATCACTTCCTAAGCAAAGGAAATCAGGTATTAAAGTGTTAGGGAAGGCAGATGTAGATCATATTCATTTTGTCTGAGTGAAGGCTTTTCTCAGGTTCTGTGGAGGGGTAATTTAAAAAATCAGATGGACAGACTATTTTAGAATATGATGACATTAGTATAAACCACCATGCGCCTCACAAGAAAAATGTGTCAGGATAACACATTGGTAAGCTCTGTGGTATTGTGGATGCCACAGAGTACAAAGGTCAGGATATGAATTCCTGGATCAGGGCACATTTGATTCTTTTCTTGGTTCTTTTAAGGGCTGAGTGGAAATGATGTCCGTTTTCCATATGCTGGTCTTCAGTCCTCTGCTGCTAAAATGACTTAACGGCTTGCTCTGATATTAGCTACTAAAGTCATAAAATTCTGTGCTCATTGAGCATAAAAGCAGCGGCTACAAATTCATTCTTACAGAGTAAGAACTTACCATACTTTACCCACATGGAGTAAGGCATTCCAACCCCCCAAAATCACTCCAGGGATTTAGGTTTCAATTTTTCCTTTAAAAAGACACCCCCCCACCCCGCCCCGCCCACCCAGGTACTCAGAAGAATGTAAGCAATACCACAGAAAACACAAGTTGGGGCACTGAACTATGCCACTATTTTATGGGGAAAATGCCAACGTGCTGGGGGCAGGAGGTAGACTGGGACACTGTCTCCTCTCTTGTTCCCCATTTCAAACCAGTCGCATGCAGTTTCCCTACCCAGAGGAGAAAACAAATAATAGTCACCAGAATAACAATGATATGAGCTTTCATAAAATAGGTTATTTTCAGTCGAATGAACACTTGTCACCTTTATAACCTCAAATACTATAGTCTGAGACTTAACTTTCCAGGTTTCAGGATCTTAGCACTATGAAATTCTGGGGTTAGTTTTATTTTGTTCCAAGATGCTGAGACTTTTAAGATGTTTTAAGTATGCTAATTTTGGTAGCTATTTTATTGGGCTATTTTATTTATTTGGTGAGGCAACCCTTGGTTGACCTCACAGATTGCAAGTACCTTGTCAGCTTACAATCCTTTGTTTTTTTATTTTTTACGCCTATTGCACCTGGTCTTCCTAGGTGATCTCCCATCTAAGTACTAACCAGGTCCAACCCTGCTTAGCTTCTGAGATCAGCCGGGATCGGTCATGATTTTTTATAATAAGGTATAATGCACCTTGTTTCTGCTCTCCTCCCTCCTCTTCCTAGCACTCTATCCTGCGATTATGAATGTCTTCCAGTTAGGTGACAAGAAGTATCTAAACTCTTATCTGTGGTATTTGGGAATTTTGTATTACATAACACCATTATATGAACTGAGAATAGCTGTGGGCACGGGGACGAAAGGATTAAGACATACTAAAAAGGTAGGAGCATATGAACATATGCATAAAAGCTGAAATGTATTCCAAGACTTCTGCTCTTTCTTCAAATTGTTGTTACATCTGGTCAATAACAATAACACTAAGTCACTTAACCAAAAGAGCCCTGAGCTATATGTAAGTTAACTTCAGTCTCTAAGAAGTGTGGATTAAGTTCTGCTCAAAGCATTCTGGTTAAAGAAGGGGCCATGAAGCCCAACCCCTCCAGGGCGAGGCAGATAAAATGAATAAAAGGGGTACGCTGTCAAATCAAAGGCGCTTATGCCTGGTATGAAGGGGACCACAGCCACTCAATTCCATCAGTCGGTTGCCATGTGAGAATGTTATCAGAACTTCTACTTTTTCAAAGGAGCTAATAATCTAAATTTTCACCTGAAAAGTCTAAATTCTAAATGTTGGCAAGTAACAAAATGCAAATATCCAATGCAGCATGGGGCAAGTGGAGTAGAACCTACTGTGGGCTAAATCTAGTGTGTGGGCGAGCATCTGCAACCTCCAGGAAAGACACCAGGGGCATGTGTGAGCCCAGACTAGGACAGAAGGGGGCAGGTGGAGTGGGAAAGGAGATATTTCATGCAAATGAAGCTAGAAATGCCTTTCCAGGAAAAACTCCTCAGAATAATTTCCCCCCACAAAACAATAATTTCTGTTGAATATACGTACCACCTTTTGTTTATCCATCTGTCAGCAGACACTTGGGTTGTTTAAATCTTTTGGCTACTGTGAATAATGCTGCTATGGACAGGGGTATAATATTTAGGGGTATAATTATAATTGCTGGATTATATGGTAGTTCTATGTTTAATTCTCTCGGGCTTGAAAAGGAAGGAAAGTCTGACACACGCTACAATTAGCCAGTCACAAAAGGACAAATATTGTATATGATTTCATCAATATATGGAGACTATTATAATGAGATTTGACTTAAAGCAGCATAACGAAATCTTGACCGATAAAAGAAAAAAAGTCTTGTCTTGTGCTGAAGGAACTATCAATACACCTACTGTCACAGCTACGGCTGAGAAAAGTAGTCAAGAAGGAAATACCCCTGAGCTGCTTAGTATAATTATTTTGAGCTTCTGAATGTGATTATGAATTAGCGTGGGGTATTGCGGGTGTAAGGAGGTATATTAGAGTTCTGCCCACTCTGAACTCCCCTTCCTTCGGCCTCTCTGTGTAGTAGTGGCCCCTAGGCTTCTATATACGCAGCCTGAAAGCACTAGTCTAAAGTGAGCCAAAAGTCATTACACACCTTTCAACTGATGTCTGAAATAATGTACAATCTACATCGGTCAGTTTGACGTCACATACACAGTCTAGGGGCCTCCATGCTCAGAGGTGTAAAAGAAACAGGTATAAAAATGGGAATTTAGAAAATTGATTTCTTTTGATACAAGACCAAAGTTTATCTGAAAACTTTTAACAAACATGGCTAGACATACACCAAAAACCTGAGAGGCATGTAACTTGATTCTATGAGTGTATTTTGTCTAAGTCTGCTAATTACAGAAAGCCATTTCCAGCCCATTAAATACATTTATTTTGACACAAAAAGGATTGCAGTGATATTAACTGTCTCCCATAGCCTGAATGTAAGCTCCACACAATACTTGGTTTCAGATTCCACTAAAGGATTACAGGTTTCCTTGGTGCATTAATCAGAATCCACTTATATTTTTACAATGGGACCCAGGCCAACTGGATGAAGGGTAATTTCTCTACTTCTGCCAATACTAGGAACTCTTGTGAATAAATGCATCATAAGAAAAGCAGACTGTGATCTTGGGAGCACTGAATTATGACAGAAAATCAGGGGCAGAGAAATAAGCAATCCTTTTAGATGCTGATTTTATGAGCTGAACTAGATTGGTAAAGTTTTCATGGCAATTTTTAAGGAAAAAGTTCTTCCAGCTCTGTGGGTCATTCCCCAGTGCACAAAGGATTGTCTTGCTTGCAAGTACTTTGTTCCTCACCACTTCCACAAGGACCACTTGAATAAGTATTTTAAATGAACAAATTAAACATCCCACTACACTGTTTTACCTGAAATGTAAGGAAGCTAGCTGTAAGAAAACAAAAGATGCAAATCTATCTGAAGGGGTAAGGTGTGATGATGCTATGTGAGAAACACATACTTATACTTGTGATGAGTAATGTTTAAGAAACACAAGATTTCACCACGGTGACTCTTCTGACTACAGCAGTACACCATCCCTATGAGCCCCTATGTAGGGCCAGGTCCAAAGGCTAAAACAGATTCCAACTAGGGATGTAAGGCCAAAGTACAGAATCAAACTATGACAGAGAGCCAAGACAATAATATCAAACATCTTGGTCCCTGATCTAAACAAACGGTGGTCTCCTGAAATCTAACATTTCTATTTCCCACGCCATTGGGAAACACCAGTGTTCTTGTATTTTCTCTGAGCTCACTCTTGTTATAGTAGCATTCTAGTGCTTGCTATAAATATGACCATTACTATTATAGAAGTAAAACAAAATCAACAATCAACAATACACACTGAGTTGCAACAATATCAACCATCCATGAGTACTTAAGAGTTGTCTATTTTGGTTGACTGTGTCCATATACCCTGGGACAGAAAAGATGCCTAATGTAATTTCTACCTTCACTTAAAAACATGAGACTTCTCACTTGGTTTATTTTTATATATCAAATAGAGAGATATAAAATATTAAACTGATATGGAAATAATTTATGAAATGGAAAAATCAAGAGTAAACAAGACTAATTTACAATG